ATGATCGCGGCTCAACCCGCCCCGGTGGTCGTGTCGGCCGAGCCTTTCTCGAATATGAGCCTGGGCTCTGGTACAGTGTAGGGGGTGTAGGGCGTATATATAAATATAAATATATATATATATATATATGTATCTCAAGATCGATAGAGCCATGTGTTGCTATCATTTATGGAGGCTTATGGTTGTTTATCTTGTCTTTGCTTCTTTGCCTATTTGAAGGCGGATTCCTAAGTTCTAGGAACCCAGTATAGACTACAAGACGAGACTGTCGTCTTTCCCGTTCAGAGTTCAGAACTCAGGAGCAGTCTGCAAGAATCAGATGCTCAGGAGCTCGCTCTTTTCTGCCTGCGGTACGAGAACGCAGGTGCAGGAATCAGCTTGTGCTTTCTTGAGGTCCCGTTTTTCCATTTTTCTATCTCCTGGACAAGAGCAAGCGCAAAGCCTGAAACCTGAACGACGAACCAACAACAGAAACAATACAAAATCGACGGGGAACGGCTTAGACCCTCCCCCCACTTCCCCAGACCCTGAGGGGGTGCTGGCTGCCTCCTTCGCTATGCTCACGAGATGAATGGCGCTTGGTATCCCTGGTGCCAGAGGCATCAGCGTTTCATAAGGGCTCATCTTGGGTGTTTTGAGTTTAGGGACCCCTGAAGTATGTTTCCCTTTTTGTTGGGGCACGCAGTGACTTGTGCGCAGCCCGTTAACCCAAGGTCGGTTTGACTTCTGAAGCCCTCAACCCTGCATCCTAGAATCCTAGTCCGAAACCCTCAGCTCGATCCTTGAACTGTGGAGACTCTAAACGTTCCTGCTCTTGGTTGATTCATTGTTTTCTCGTAGTTCTCTAACTAGGCTATCCAGAGAAAGCCGCTACAATTCAGTGGTGATAAGTGGAGAAGAGACCAGTACCTTAAAATCTTAAATCTTGAAACCCGTATCCTAGAAGCCCTTAACTTAGTCTCAACCCTAAAACCTCAACCCTAAAACCTCAACCCGGAGTTAGGGTTTAGGCTTCAGATCTGGAGGCCAAACCTTCATGGTCCAGAGAAGGATGAATCTGCCTTCAGGCCCTCAACCCTACTTGAGGATCAGGGACTTAGGAAGTAGTTCTTAAGTAGAGAGTTATTAACCCAATTTAGAGCCCTGTTAAGTTAGGGTCACCCTACGTCACGCCTCATGACTGAGTCCCCAAGTACACCCTTCAGCCTTACCTCTAAACTTGGTTCCTTGGAAGGATAATAGGGCTCTTAAGGGACGGGGTTCATGGGATAGGTGCCTAGAAAACCTTCGGAAAGCCTAGGGAGCCTTAGAGAGTAGTGGGGAGTATTGGGGAACCTTGGGTTAAAGAACCCCCCTTTGAACCCTTTCCCTTAAGAGCTCTATAAAAGGATATCACCGTGAAAAAGCAGGCGAGTACCAGGTGTTCGGGTTCTGAAAGCCGAGGGTTAAACCCCGGACTCCAACCCTCATGAACACGTCGAGACTCTACGCCCCAAAGTTTCAAACACATCCTAAACCCCAAAATCCCGAATCCTCAGCCCTAAACCCTAGCGGAGGCCCAGTGAGTTCAGAGCCACATTCCGGATGTTAGCAGGCGAGGCCCGGATCTGCAGTGTGGTGTTTAGGCTTTAGGGGTTACCCTGAGCCCTAAGCCCTAAACTCTAAACTTTTTAAGGTTTAGGGGTTGCTGGCCTAAGGCTTTGGGGGCTTGGGAAGCAGCTTGATCATGCTTGAGACCCTAAGTAAGCCCCAAGCCTTAAACCCCTGAACCCCAAGTGCTAAACCGCCTGTTTGGGTGGTCAGCTGGAGTGGGAGGTTTGTCTGGCATATATGGGAACTTAGGGGCTTTGTCTTTCTGCCTCTGGGGTTTGAGCAGTTTCGACTAAATAGGGTTTAAGTTTTAGGGTCCCGAGTTTAGGGCTGTCCTGTTTCGAGGTCAGGCTAAGGGACACTTCGTTCTGGCAGGCGAAAGTATCCAAATTATTTGGGGCTTTTCGGTTTAAGGTGTGCTACCCCTAAACCTTCGATGTCCCTTGACCATAAACCTCCAAGCAGGAGCCATTCACGCAATTACTTCTCGCAGCGGAATGGTCTGGTCTGTCAACGAGGGCAGTGGATATCCTTTCTTGGGCGGCCCATACTCCTGTCAGCAGGGGATGGCTTGCTTTTCAGAGGTGGATACCAATGGAGATGGAGTTTTTCTACAGTGAAAGTATGTCGTGATTTTTAGAGGGTTTTTTGTTGGTGCAACCATGTAGTTCTCCCAACAGTTCAAAGCAGGCAATGGCAATCGATAGTTTCTGCGTAACCCATGTACCCTCGCCGCTCTTCCTGACATGTGCCGCCAGCTCAGGTTTTCGACAAGTTCGACGATCCCTACGGGCCCTACTACCCCGGTGATGACGTGGTGGATTGGGTTGGTGTTACCGTTTACTACTGGGGTCTCCTGTATCCTTTCGGTGAGAATCAGCTTCCACAGGACAACTACTTCGTGCAGCGCATCAGAGGCGCATGATAGCCCTTGTCAGAGGTCCAAACAACTTGTGCTAAGGGCTTCGCATGATATGGCGAAGCCTTATACCCTGAATCCCTAAACCGCCAACCAACAACTTCCCACCTAAGACACTCCTCGAACCCCATGGCCCAAAGCCAAAACAAAGACGCTCCTCGGGAGGCAATTATAGCGGTCCTTCGGGCGACTACAGGAGCACCCCCGACTTGTACCAGATCTATTGCTCCCCTGAGGGTGGCCTGTGGTGGGTCTGGGGGCCATCAGGGTTCAGGGGCAACGGTTTCGGCGGGCTTAGGGTAGGGTGTTTTTGAGTTGCGTAAAGGGCTCGGGGTGCAGAACCTGCATGCCCCCTGTTCGACTCCCAAGACAAGTTCCAGGTGGGCACAACAAACCAATGATGCTCACTGAGACATCGGCGCTGTACACCGTTGGGGCACCGTTTGGAGGACCGTCAATGTCCATAGAACCCCAAAGAAGGAGACCCCAGACTTCGAACCCTAAACCCCGCAACCGTGATGACCTCAAAAGGTAAATCTATGGACTCAAAACCCCAAAACCCGTTCAACCGGTACACTGAAGCCCTACACCCGTCGTGCCCTAAACCCGGCACAGCCGCAACTGTTTAACTCAAGCTTCCGGAGGAACGGCCAGTAATATGGACATCAAGCGAAACTGGTGGATGCAGGCCTTCCGGAAACGAAGCCTTCCAACCGACGAGGGACAAGGTATTGGGATTGCAGGGTTGAGGGTTTAAGTCCGTATTCTGCTACGAAAGTCTCTCGGCTGAAGTGGTGCTGTCTCCGCTAGGTGCCAAGGTGAGCCATGTTATCGTACAGCAAAGATCGTTCAACTGCTGACAAGCAGCAGTTGCCGGCTTTGAGCCCGGCTCTTGAAGTCTGAGGGACTCTCGTCAGACTTTCTCAGTCATGGATCTGCTGATGCTTGGAACCGCCATGTCCATGTCCAATTCGATCGGCGTGCTGTGCGTAGTGAGGGAGGTTCCTTTACTTGCCAGGTTCGGGCCCAGTTTGGTTTCGGCCAAAGTTCTGGCGCCACCGCGGCATGTGCACTCTATCCGCGTTCGTTGTTCCAACATCGGTTCGGTGATGCGTGTGAGTTTGTTCCTGCGCCGGATGTCACCTCACCATCTACGGTCATGTGCACGGGGGCCCGGATTCAACATGACTCGACAGTTGTTCAGGCTTCTGCGGTTGGTCTGGCTTCCGAAGGTCTTGCTTGCAAAGTCAAGGATCAGAAGTTGTGCCCTGCTTTAGGGGTTCCTGAGGGTACTTCAGTTTCGATAATTGCCATGATATCCATTTGCTGGGTCTTCACGCGGTCCCTGGAGGTGTATGTCACGCCTCGTGCCTATGTCGATACTTGGGGTTGCTTGGTTGTCACGGACTTGCTCTGACTGCCGTGCAGGATCCCTGAGAGTCTTAAGTTGGAGATTGATCGGACTGAAGTGGTCCTTGCCACCCAAAGAGCTCGGCTTGCACATGCAGCTTGACCATTGTCGGCGCCCACGGTGAGCAACCACTTCGGAGAAACTTCCAGGCGGTCGCAGGTCTTGGTAATTACGCGCAAAACCTTGTCGCCGTGCGGGGGAAGGCGAGGTGTATATAGTTCAGCATTCATTAGATGGGAAGGGGTGTTGTCGACAGGGTGAGTGTGGTTATGTGTCGTTGTTGTTGGCCCGGCAGCCCGGAAGTCCCCTGTGTTGTCGTGACACTGTTGCTGGGCATCCAGCAGGGCTTCTCACTTTGGTTATGGGTTTGGGCATTTGTTCGGTCTCGTTGCGTTCCTCATGATAGTTTCATGAAGGTGAGGTGCTTGGCTGGTGGCAAAGGCCCCTAAAGCCCTAAGCCCTAAAGCCCACGTCTCCCTTCTGAAGGTCTTCGGATTGTCCGCGTGTCCACCGTCGAGCCTCTGTGGTGGTGCCGAGTTCCCCATGTTGAAGGCTATCATGTGGTCCCTCAGAAAATATGGCTTTTTGGTTTCGGGCTGTAGGGATTCAGGGTGTTTGTGGTTTGACAGATGGATTCGAAGCCCTAAAGCCTCTTGAGCCCGAAGCTGTATGTTGAAGTCCTCGAGTCTTCCTGCCTGGCCGTGAAGACAAAGGTTCGATATCATCAAAGCAGAAGGAGCAGCGCAAGGCGAGACAGTGGACTGGTCGGTGACTCAAAACACCTCTATGGCGCAAAGCTTCGCCCAGGAGGTTCTGAACCAGCCAGGCTCTGTGGAGTTGGGATTCCCTGTATTCGTGCATTCAGGGAACCTCTCTCTGAACGCTAGTGTATGTCTTGCCTGAATGCTAAGCAGTAGTATCCTAAGGGATCCCCAGGTGGAAGAGCAAGGTACGTGGGCCTGGATGAGCTAAACGAACTGCGCGGATGCTCAGATGATGAGGTGGAGAACTGTGCAGGGACCAAGTGCTGTGTATCCCCGACCTCCAGGTGTTACCGGAAGGATGACGGCTGGGCCGCGTGCATGCCCAGCTGTGTGCCTGGTATCGACTACACGGAGCTTCCGCAATACCAGACGCCTTGGAGTTGCGAGGATCTGTCTGAGATACAGATATGCTCCCAGGACAGAGTAGAAAATTGTGGAGAGACAAAGTGCTGCATATCTCCAGGGTCTTCATGCTATCAGAAGGATCACGGCTGGGCTGAATGTGGGACCAGCTGTGTTCCTAGAATCGACGACACGGAGCAACCCGACCAATCGTCCTGGAGTTGTGAGGTGTTGTCGTCGCCAATTATATTTCCAACGCTGCCGCCGACGTTACCGCCGACTACACCTCCAACATCGCCTGCACCTACAACATTGCCGCCGACTTTACCACCGACTGCACCTCCAACATCCCCTCCACCTACATGCTCGCAGGACCGAGTGGAAAACTGCGCAGAGACAAAGTGCTGCACGTCCCCAGATTCTACGTGCTACAAGAAGGATGACGGCTGGGCGGCTTGCATAACTAGCTGTGTTCCTGGAATCGACGACACTGAGCCTCCACAGTACCAGACACCTTGGAGTTGTGAGGTGTTGTCACCAACATTGCCCTCGACTTTACCGCCGACTACACCTCCAACATCGCCTGCACCTACAACATTGCCCCCGACTTTACCGCCGACTGCACCTCCAACATCCCCTCCACCTATATGCTCGCAGGACCGAGTGGAAAACTGCGCAGAGACAAAGTGCTGCACATCCCCAGATTCTACGTGCTACAAGAAGGATGACGGCTGGGCGGCTTGCATAACTAGCTGTGTTCCTGGAATCGACGACACTGAGCCTCCACAGTACCAGACACCTTGGAGTTGTGAGGTGTTGTCGCCAACATTGCCCTCGACTTTACCGCCGACTACACCTCCAACATCGCCTGCACCTACAACATTGCCGCCGACTTTACCGCCGACTGCACCTCCAACATCCCCTCCACCTACATGCTCGCAGGACCGAGTGGAAAACTGCGCAGAGACAAAGTGCTGCACATCCCCAGATTCTACGTGCTACAAGAAGGATGACGGCTGGGCGGCTTGCATAACTAGCTGTGTTCCTGGAATCGACGACACTGAGCCTCCACAGTACCAGACACCTTGGAGTTGTGAGGTGTTGTCACCAACATTGCCCTCGACCTTGCCGCCGACTACAGCTCCAACATCGCCTGCACCTACAACATTGCCGCCGACTTTACCGCCGACTGCACCTCCAACATCCCCTCCACCTACATGCTCGCAGGACCGAGTGGAAAACTGCGCAGAGACAAAGTGCTGCACATCCCCAGATTCTACGTGCTACAAGAAGGATGACGGCTGGGCGGCTTGCATAACTAGCTGTGTTCCTGGAATCGACGACACTGAGCCTCCACAGTACCAGACACCTTGGAGTTGTGAGGTGTTGTCGCCAACATTGCCCTCGACTTTACCGCCGACTACAGCTCCAACATCGCCTGCACCTACAACATTGCCGCCGACTTTACCGCCGACTGCACCTCCAACATCCCCTCCACCTACATGCTCGCAGGACCGAGTGGAAAACTGCGCAGAGACAAAGTGCTGCACATCCCCAGATTCTACGTGCTACAAGAAGGATGACGGCTGGGCGGCTTGCATAACTAGCTGTGTTCCTGGAATCGACGACACTGAGCCTCCACAGTACCAGACACCTTGGAGTTGTGAGGTGTTGTCACCAACATTGCCCTCGACCTTGCCGCCGACTACAGCTCCAACATCGCCTGCACCTACAACATTGCCGCCGACTTTACCGCCGACTGCACCTCCAACATCCCCTCCACCTACATGCTCGCAGGACCGAGTGGAAAACTGCGCAGAGACAAAGTGCTGCACATCCCCAGATTCTACGTGCTACAAGAAGGATGACGGCTGGGCGGCTTGCATAACTAGCTGTGTTCCTGGAATCGACGACACTGAGCCTCCACAGTACCAGACACCTTGGAGTTGTGAGGTGCTGCGTTGATAAGAACGTTATCGCAAACGCTTCCATGAGGCCCTGAAGCTCAGAGCACATAAAAAACTCTACAATCGGCGCGAGAAATTGCCATGAGGTCTCCTCTCCGCCACATCCGACGCAGTCGAGCAAAGCCTCGGCATGTTCTGCAAGGCTGCGCTTCGGTAGGGCGCGCAGTCTCGGTATGTCTCGGTGTACAGCTGCCGTGGCTAAAACATCAGAGCGCTTCTCCAGGGCAAGGCCCACAAACCCTAAACCATCCCTAAACCCTACACCCTTAGATGCCCTGAAAAAGGCCCCAGGAAATTTCGGTGCTTTCACGCAGACCTTGGCTGGACACGACTTCGAGTCCCGCGGAGTTGGGGTGTTTAGGGGAGTATGGCTTCTGAGCTGACTTGCCCCTGAAGCGGTCAAGGTAATGCAAGTGGTGGTTGCACCTTCTGTGCAGGGAAAGGCTGTTTAAAAATGATTGAAATTTACAGGCACAACAGCGGGGCACATTGCAATCACTACAATGACCTAGAGCACCTGCATAAGGAGATCCCTCCTATGAAGGAGCAGTAGCCAGCCAGTCAGCAAGCACAGGTAGGGGATTCTGGCTGTCATGATCTTGCCACTTCCTACATGACGTGTCGTGAACTTGTGGAATTCCGGGAACGCTGTAGTACCTTAGCCATGTGTAAGTGCGTGAGAAGCTGGGCTCAAGGTGCGGGTGAGTGATTTCGTGGGGCACCTTTCTGCAGCCAACAAATGGGTTGTGATTTCGAGATTTTCATTCAGGTGTTCTTACGACAGCGCTGGCGCACGTGTTTGCACTTGCAGACAAAGACCCGATGTGGCGGTGGACCTCTGTGCAAAACCATGCGCAACGTGGCCATTTCACTGCCTGATAGTGGTCGGCTGGGTGCTGGCGAGGTGATTGCCCAGCCGACGAACTGCACCCAGCCTGAGTCCGAACTCTGCTTGCAAATACAGGACCTGCAAGAGCAGCTGCTCAACCCCGACGGGGCTTGTGCATCGAAGGAGCTAGAAGCCATTGCAGACGAACAAGCCTTTCTTCCGGAGAAGCTCCTGCACTTGCGAGGTGGCCAGATGCTGACCTACCATGTTGCTGAGAAAAGTGCTTTACTATACTCGCCTGAAGAGTTTCAGCAATTTGTTGAAGCCTTGCGAAAGTACGAAGCCCAACTTGAAGAAGAGTTTGCTTGCAATCGGATGTTGTATTTCCGGCTGCTCTGTGGGATTCCTGCAATCTGTCTGATGCTTGGGAGCGCATGTCCGGTCATTGAGATGGGTGAACCTATATGGCTGGATGACGGTTGGTCTGAACAGATCATGTCGGAGATCAAACAGACACAAGACCGGCGAGCAACACAGTGGTCTGATCTCATCCAACGTATCTTTCGTGTTCGCAGGCTGCCTACAGATGTGCTCAACTGTATCGCAAGTCTTAGTTTGCCAGTGTCACCTCGTGTGCGGGTGGCCATGTGCGATGATGAAGGTCAAAGCGAGAAAATCAGAGAAGGTGATTTCACTGAACCTGAACTTGGGTGCACCATGATGTGATTCGAGCAAGTCTCAGACTTCTACTCGGAGCATGGCAGATACAGTTGCCTTCGCTCAGTAGTGCTTCTCCTGGGAGGCTGGGTGTCTGTACAGCGAGTCGCAGGGAAGGGGCGTGGGAAAGCTGCACCCTCAACGCCACAAAGCCACCATGCCGAGAAAACGCAGGCAAAGTCCGCTCCCGTTTCGGAGCGTTTCGGAGTTGGCCTGAGGAACATTTGGATGCTTTTGTATTGAACGGGTTTCACTTCCGAAGCAGTCAGATGCTGGTTTGGACTTGTCAGGGTTGAAGCTTTCATAAACACTTGACAATGTCTTTCTGTTACCTTTGCCACTCCGTCCAATTTCTGTGATTGCGGCCGCGCTGGCATGTGGCTCCGGAGTTTGATTTTGTCTTCCGTTATAGTTTCTAGCTCGGGTTGGCAAAAGCTGTGACGCGATGGCTGGAACAGAGCTTGCGGACTTGGCAGCTGCAGTGAAAACCACCACTGTAGAGGAACTGCAAAAAGCCTTGCAGGAGCTTGTCCAGAGTGACCATGCTGCTTTGCGCTGACACGTAGGGGGCATGACTGAAAAGGTTGACACGTACAGCTTGACAAGTCTGATGGCAGACAGGCATGCAATGAGTTCTTCGTTATGTGCCAATCAGTGACACGGTCAAGACGCCCCGCCAAAGCCTTAAACCTTAAACCCTAAACCCACAGCAGCCTGCTGCAGGAGTGCTCGACTGAGGAGCGAGAGCGCATTCTCGCAGCAATCGCTGCTGCACAGGCCGTTGCACAGTCTTGAAGTCGCATACGGCAATAGCAAAGGATAGCAATGATAGCATGTTATTACAAGTGATAGCAAGTGACAGCAAGTGATAGCTCATGATAGCAAATGATAGAGCAATTGATGGCAAGTATTTGCAAACTCAGCAAATAATGGCAAGTAACAGCCGAAATCAGCAAATCAAAGCAAACGACAACAAACAGCAGTGATGGCAACATTGCACACCAGATCAACCTTGAGATATGGTGCAGCGTCAGGCTACGAAGCACCGGAGTGGTGGATACAAGCTCCGTAGCTGCAATTTCTTTGCGCATCAAGGTGCAGTGGAAAGTAGCCTGATCGCACTTCCAGCTGCGGCTGCGAGGTTCCTGTTCTTTGTCAAGCTCATGTGCATTATCATGGCTTGCATGGTCGGTCATCAATGGCTGTAGAGCAATGATCGTGAAGCAGTTTAGGGTTTAGGACTTGGTTCCAGTAGCGGGTGCTTTTGCGTTCGCCCAGCCACTTCAGCCTGTTACAACGGTGCCCAGGTCGGAAGGAGAGAACCAATGAGGAAGACATCTGCAGGTGGCCCACGCTTGACAACTTAGCTGCCTCCCCAACAGAGTATGCTTCGAGATGTTCCTCTTAATGCGAATGGTGCAAGTTGAGGGATGCGTTGGGCAAGATCTGTAGCCAAGCTTGAGCGCAATCTGAAGCAAGTGTTCCTGGATCTTGGACAGGTCCTGCACAAGTGACTTGCTCAAGGAAGTCGCACAGTCCGGATTGGATGCAAACGTGGCGTTGCCGGAGTGTTCACTGGCAAATGAGATGTTCGACGGTTGGTATAGCAATCATTCTGGAAGCCTACGTTGCGCCCAGTCCATGCAAACAGGCATTCGTTTGAAGTCGTCAAGAGGCCTTGTCTCACATTGGCAAAATTTATGGTTGATGTGCGATGATACGAAAGCGTTTAAAGCTATTGGGGTGCTTGCTTGCCATGGGCCGCACACCCATGCACAGCTGAGCTCATTGCACACATGTGCAGCAGTTGTTTAAAACAAGGAGGTCTGGCCACCGGTTTTACATCCAAGCAACTTTGTTGCGATGCATCTTGTTCTAGCTCTGTTTCAAACAGTTAGACCTTGTACACGTTAGCGCGTCCTTCTCTGTCACAAGCAAACGTGGGACGTTTCGCGCTAACGACCTGATATGCCTGCAAAACAGCGGCCGGAAAGTCCTGGTCTCATGCGGGCAAGTCCTTGGGCCTCGGAAGGGTTCAGCTTGTTTCCCGCAGGTACCGGCAAAAATCGCCGCACATTCTGAACATCTTTTTGACATGGCCGATGGTAGTTTTGTTCTGCAGACTACTTTTCCCTCCCCCTTCTCAAAGCGTCATTTTTGTTTCAGACCGAATCCACTCCCTTGAACCTTCAAGGCTTGCAGAAGGCTTCGCGAACTCGATGAAGTTGCATGCTGTGTGGTCTGGCCCATTTGGGATGTGAGCCCTTGTGGCCCAGCTTGTGTTACTTGAGTCAGAGGGATGTCCAACCTAGCACAGAAATCAGGGCAACATCTGCCACCCCCTGGCAAGCGACGAGCCCAGCGTTCCTGCACCACACGCGGTTGCGAGTCTTCAAGCTACGACTGAGTCAAGCGGTGAGCCAAACACATCTTGTAGCAATGTGTCAAGTCATGGCTTCCCGAGCCGCCGAGCAGAGGAGGCCCAGTGTTGCTCCTGCGGGCACTTTGCTGTCCATGATTCTCCATCTGCATGTCCTTTTTGTTTTGAGCTTGTGTGCCACAGCCCCTTTTTGGCATTTGCAGCCGCAGCTCTCGTCACATTTGACGTTCTGCTTTTCAGGCCTCACCTGGGCACATAGCATCAATGGTCGTGGTGGACATTGAGCTTTGGCCCGCATCCGTTCAGGCTCTGCTTGTCCATTACAAGCCCTCTTTCGGCTCCACAGACGACGTATATAGAAAGTACAGGTGTCTCAGTATCGAAGCCTTAAAATATGCATGCTTTCGGCCGGTCTGGTCCAGCCTTGAACGTTCCGGCTGAAAAATCCTGACTGTCATCGACTCGAAGCAGGTTTTGCCCAGGTTTGGAAGGCAGACGGCTTCCAGACAAGTGCTGTTCCCAGGACTACCGCGAGTACTTCCTCCCTGACACCATTCAAGAACTGCAGCGTGCCTTTGTGTCTGAGCTGCGAGTGGATGCAACTTGTTTCGGTTTACGGCCGCTTCAGAATCTCCGCGCAAGCTTTTGCTTCCGAATCGGATGACTCACAAATGGTACCGGAAGAGCTGTCTCACGCGCACACCAAGTCCCTGCACCTGCTCTCGTCTGTCAAGGACAAGTGGGACACATCTGGAGATGGTGCTATTTCTGTCAAGGAGCTGTACCAAATGAACTTTGGCGGCACAGAAATTTGCATCACAGGATGACAAGGCTGAGGGCCATGCAGCCATTCTCGGACAGGCTAAACCTTAAACCCTAAACCCCCCCTAAAACCTGAACCCTAAACCCTAAACCCTGAACCCTAGACCCTAAACCCTAAACCCTAAATCCTAAATCCTAAACCCTAAACCCTAAACCCTAACTCTCACACCTTTGGTAGCTGTGTCGTTCCCAGGTTCCGAAGCCTTGGGAAGAAGGTGAGCCGCCAGCAGTTGAAGCACGTGCTCGCTGAGATCGACACGGACTCTTGGCGTTCCTGGTTTATTGTTGCCGTGACGAAGGCATGTGTGGTGCGTCTCTGGGAGGGGGGGGAGCAGGCTGTTGTCCAGCGCATGGCAAGAATTGACGTCTAACCCTCATGCTTGCCAGGTATGCAGACAGATGTTACTGCACACGTTGATGGAATCAGGACGGGAATGGCGAGATCGACTTCGAGGAGTTGTGCATGCTGGAGATCAAAATGAGTGGTGCCCGACCACGAGCTGATCTCATCGATCCTCAGCCAAAACGAGCCGAACCAGTGCCGGAGACAGGTTGGGATGTTGGTACCAAGTATCCTGAACACGACTGGTACGCATGATCCCAGGACTACCAGGAATTCTTGACTGAGCGTCAAGTGGCCAAGCTGGAGACGGCTTTCCTTCGACATGACCGGAAGAACACAGGTGCAGTCCTCGAACCAGTTTGGGGTAGAGAGATGAGTCATTTGAGGGATCTGAGAGGTCTGATTGGCCTCGATGCCTTCTGCAGCATCGTGGAGAGTCTTGCGCCTTGGCTACAGTCATCCTACATCTTCGACATGCTCCATGCCTAGTCAGGAGAGCTCACGCCCTCAGCCACCTGCTTCCTCAAAGCCGTCTTTGCTTCGTTGCAGGCGCCCTGGACCGAGCGAACGCCTGTGGAACAGCGTGCCACGCGTGAGGAGCGTGCCCTCTCCAACAAACCCGAAACGAATGAAGAACTCCTAAAAATCTACGGTACTGGGTTTCATAGTTGGACAAGAAATCTCTTCGGTATTCATTTAGAATGGCTATGTATGTACGCATATGGATAAGCATGGGGTCTTTGCCCCCCTGCAATAATATCCTATGCTTGGGAATTTTTGGAGGGGAGAAAGGGCCCTCATAATTCCATTCCAACATGCCCTAGAGTTGGATGAAAGAATCCTAGGGAATGGTTGTTTCTTGACAGGTGATTCTGCGCCAAAGACTGAGGTGAACTCGCCTGGAGACCTTTTATCGTTGCCTTTATCTCGAGATGCTTACGGACCAAGGAGAAGCCCCTTTAAACACGGATATCAGAAGCTAGACCAAGCACCACAACTAATGAAGCACGACCGCAAACATATTCTTGCGTCCTCCTTTCACTCGTGAGCCAACCAATGTACACTCTTCTCACTCTTTCGTCGCTACTAAGAAGAGCCCGGGAAAAAAAGGCTCGTATCTCGGCCCCTGTGAATCGGATGTTGATCAAAAACACCAGTCGTTTTTAGTTTTATGGGCTCATGACCCCAACACGGGAAGGTGTTCATGGGGGGTTTCTTCTTCGTGGCGATGAGCGTGCTTTGGGGTCTTTTGGTGGTGTAAGCATTACGGCTTTTTGGCCATGAAGGCCTTAGCTCGAATCTTATAATGCTGCCCATTCTTTGCCTTGTTTTGTTGGGTTTGGCCTATTCTCGTTCGTTCCTTGCCTAATAACACAAACCCAAAAGGGAAAAGACAAAGCACCCAAAGTCTCCGGAGTCGGAGTTTTTCCCAACCAAGCACAGCGCGCGGGGTTCGCAGGATTATGAGGATGTGCTGGCCGAGGCAGCTCAGCTCTGAAGCCCTTGGAAACCTGTGTTTGCAAAAAGCATGTCTCGGCCGTCCTCTTTTGTACCGTTGGAGTCGCTCGAGGTGGATCCCCAATGTCGTGGCAGCATCGACTTCCACCAGCTTTGCTCCGGCTTCGCCGTGCTCACCAAAGCACGTGGCCAGGAGGCATGAAGAGGCATGAAGAGGCATCAAGAGGCATCAAGAGGCATCAAGAGGCATCAAGAGGCATCAAGAGGCATCAAGAGGCATCAAGAGGCAGAGTAGGCACGTGCTGGTTAAACTTATGTTAAGCTGTTCAGCCACTAAATGATCTTCTCTTCATCTCCCATTCTCGCCCTCCTGCAAACGAACGGAAGCATTTAGAAGGACTGCGCTAAAGTCTTCACATTCCCAGGCAAGATGGTGAACTACAGAGAGCACCTTGCCATGACATTAGCATGCGTTTCACAACTGTGTTGGCAGTTGGGCTTGCTGTGCCCCGGCTTATTGTGGTCATGCTTCTCTTGGTGTCACCCTCAAGCGCCGAACTCTGAAGTGTGGTTTGTCTTGGCAGAAGCAGTGATTGCGGTGCTCCGGCGTAGACCAGCCTCGGAGCAGGTATTTGCAGCAGGACGAGGTGAAGGACCAAACGAAATGAGGTGCTGCGTGAGTGCAAGAAGGAAGTGGTTTTCAAGTTCCCATGGCGGCAAGGAGTATCGACGCATCTTCACCGCCACTACGCAAAAGAGGGGCCAAAGTGTCTCGTACTGATACCAGCAGCTGCGGTCAGCAGCATGCAAGAAGCGTAGATCCAGTTCACCATGCACTTCATCCATGCTACACTTGTGTATCTCAAGGACAAGGGGTGAGGTGCTGGGAGTGAGATGGAGAACGAGTGTCGTTCAGGGAAGGCATCTAAGGTGGACTTTCGAAGTCGGACTTGGACCGGATCTTGCGGAGAATGGGAGCTACTTTGTCGAAGGCTTGTGAGGGGTGAAAGATGCCAACAACATGCAGCAGCGAGAAATTTGAGTTCGTTTGGCTGATCTTTCAGCTAGAATTGGTTTGACTGGCACGGTTCAGCGTGTTCGGAACCTTCAGCCGGGGTTTGGGAGCATCAGTTGCTCCTTGCAGCCATGCCTTGGCAGCAAAATTGCACGTCCAGAGTCTTCGTTTCGTGCAGGCGCAGCTGCGTGAGTTCTTCCAGTACTTTGACACCGATGGCTCGGGCCTGATGGACTTCGAGGAGTTCTGCGTGATGCTCCTGAGGCGCGTGTTCGCCTCGCCACGAATGGTCATTCCCATTGGGCAGACTTGCCATGCGTTTCGAGTAGATTTGTAGTAGATCTCGTGACTTCCATACTCCCGGATCCAGGGTGCGCAACCTCCACAAGAATCGGATCGTGAGCCCGGAGACCTGCAGCTGCGCTGAGCTGTGGCCACGCGGCGAAGTCAAAGTTCTTGGGGCTTTGCACCTAAACCTTTGTGTTACGTTGCGTAGATGTGCGCTATGGTTCTTGAGATACTCTGAGCATATCCGAGGCGAGAGGAGGAGTTCAGCATCGAGGATCGTTGTGGGTTTACTGAGTTTAGTGCTTTCAGGCCTGGATGGTGAAGTTCTTGCTTGTGAGCTTCTGTGCCTTTGGCATTCTTGGAGAGCCGGACATCAAGGCAATGTATGCAAAGCGAAGCCACGAGCAGTTCTCATTTTCTCACAGTCTGAGAACTTCACGGTTCCGATTCTGGCAATCCCAAGCTATTGGCGTTGGGTGAATGAGATTTCGTGCTAGTTCACATGGGTTGGCATATCCGCTACCTGGGGAAAGTTCTCTGAGACATTGGATCTGCGCAGCCCAGTATCATGTGTCCAATTCCATGAAGAGGAGCTTCAGCAATCTGGCTTCACCTTGGAGGCAGTTTCGGCTGACAGCATGCCACAGCATATTCCTGCCTTCTAGCTCCGGCGAAACTCTTGTCAGCCCGGACTGTGGCGTGAGCTCATCAAAGCGTCCAGTATACTGTTGCGACCCCTCAAGAGCTTAGGGTGGCCAGGTTGCCTCATCAGCTCGGTTAGTTCAGATGACTGCTTGTAGGTGCTCCCATGCCCTGTTCCGAAGGATTTCAAGAAAGCCGGCATACCGGTTGCCACTCTTCATAAAGATGGAGGCAGGTTGCACACATGTGCGTTGCAGGTTGATGAGACTTCGTCGGAACCGCAACAGATCTCAGTCTGTGTTTTTCCTCTCGCCCTACGTCCCAGTTGCGCTCCACGCCTCTGGCAGGATACTCTGCGCTGGAGCTTCGCCGTGTCGGTTTCTCTGCCAAGGAGCTCAAGCAAGGTGTGGATTTATGAGTTGGCACGGATTTCCACAGCTTTGGCTATGTTTGCTCGAGTTTTGTGTGAGCATCCAATTGCTCACAGCTGTCGTTTGCATGGCTGAAGCCCCCTCAACTCCGATGTCAGCATGCTTTGGAAATTGGAGTTCCGAACGGGGCCCTTTTTGAGTTCCACGTGTGCTTTTTTGATGCCCAGCTGTACATGTGAAGTTCGCCTGCTTCATGTTTACTCATTGGTGCTTCGACTGGAGCTCTGCCAGGACGTCCTAGTGCTTCAACTTACCATATCTTACCATATTATCTTATCCTTGTGTCTCACACTGGGTAGCAGCAGGCGAAAGCTTTGCCAGAGTCGTCTTGGCTATTCTAGCTTTAATCTAAACAAAACATCTACATCTCTGTCAACTTAGATGTACATGTGCCAGGTCATGTTGTTTTGTGGCAGACCTCTTAATCTTTGGGTCTTGCAGGCGGAGTGGCACTGATGGAGCTCCGTAGAGGCCTGGGTGATGGGAGAAAGATGTCAAGCCCATGAGTCACCGATAAGCTACGCAAGCACGAGGAGAGTCTTCCCGAATTTTCGAGTTTCCGTAACGTGACACGTTCTTGAGGCGGCTACAGCCTCATGGACCTACGCTTGGCAGGGTTTTCAGCTGAAGCCCTTGAAGGCGCGAAGCTGTTCTGAGATGAGGCGCTAGTCATGCTCCGACATGTCACGAGAAGGGTGGCTTCACCATACTTCTATCCTTTGCAAATGAGTCCACCTGCTAGTTGTACATGAAATCTTTAGAACATCTGATGGTTGGCTGGCCAGCGCATGGGGCCATGTGGGAATTGTAATTCTGAAGATGCATGAGCCACGCACACATTGCCTCTTGAGCCCGACAATCTCGAGGGATGCTTTGGGATGTTCGGAACTCCATCGAAGCATAAGAGGCCGTGGCTGCCAGAAAGCTTCTGAAGCATCTGACGCCTTCCCTTTGACGACAAAGGGGTGGAAGCAACCCAAGTGTCGATGTCATCTGCATCTCGAAGTCGAAGTCTGCAAGGTGCCAACCGCCAGCTCTTTGGGTCCTTCTCTGCCGGTGATCTCTCGGTACTTCCACGGATGGCACCGAAACCTGTGGTCTCCAAGGTGCCGAGCACGATATTGTGCGATGCTGTTCCTGTGCCTGTCTTTTTCGGTGAGTCAAGAATGCTTGTCGATAGCTGTACGAGCGAAGTTGATGAATGGAATAGAGCAGTTTAGTTTAAATTAATCGATGCGCAAGCAATGTGCTACGTGAACGAATTGCTGCTGCCTCAGCATCATCAGCATCAGCAGCAGCATCAGCAGCCGGCAGCATTAGCAGCACTAGCAGCAGCATCAGCAGCGTCAGCAGCATTAGCAGCATCAGCAGAATCAGCAGCATCAGCATGGTAGTTCAGCATCATCAGCATGGTAGCTCGTTTTGTGATGCAGCAGGTGGTCTCATGGATGTTTGAACTTTGAACCATGTGGTGCACAGTGTCTGGAGCCCCTGAAGCAGCCGGTGTACTGAGTGTACTTGTCTCAGGGATTTGCGCTAAGCAGCGCCGGCTTCGCCCTCCTGAAGAATGCTCCAGGCTGGGCGCTGCCGATCATGGCCTGCATCATGAGCATCTTCTTGTCGTCTCCCATGGCTGAAAGTGCAGGCTCTTTTCTGGATGCTGCTGTGCAGCGTCCTCTTCAGAGGCAGATGACGCCGATGATCCGGGAGCACACTGTAGCCTGGCGATTCTGGAAGTTTAGGAAGGGTAGGAAGGCACGTTCTGATTGTGTTGCGAACTCAGTGCGGCCGCAGTCCCTGAGATTGTGGGTTGATGCATCGGTGCAAACCATCAAGTGATGCCTGGGATTGAGGACTGGAAATCTCCCTACACAGGGCGGGCGAACATGCCACTTGGCCGGAAAGTGACACTGCAGTCTCTTCGAATTCTGATGTAGGCTCGTCTCAAAGGCCACTCTTAAGAAGCCTTGCGAAGAGTGCTTCTTATGGCAGGACCGGGGATAGCCTGGATGCCTTAGCATCCACCAGATTGCTCAGGTCTCCGCCTAAGACTCCCCAGCCTTTGGAACGTCGGTGTGGGCAGAGGATGTTTGCTTGTTTTTCTCTGTCGTGCCCGGAAGAAGTGCAGCCTTGACCACGGATTTCCGGACCAAGGTCTAGACCCAGTGACCTCAACGGGTTTCTCCTCGACTCTCGGGGGAAGTTTTTGGGTGGTTAGGAGAGGAGATGCTAGACACTTTCGATTGCATGTCATACCAGTCCCGTGCAACAGCAACTACTTGAGACCGTAGCAGCTCTACCACTTCAGAGATGGACACCTTCGACGTGGGACGTGTGTTGACCGTCTCCATCGTTGCATGGATCCTAGAGGCTTTTCGTGGGCTGAGCCCCGGAGAGTTTGCATGACGAGAGCCCATGCCTGGGTGCACTTACGGAGCTTTGGGCCACAGAGGGCTTGCTTAGTGAAGCTTAGACGTGCTTAACTACCGGGCCGAAGTGCACAAGATGGCGCCTGGAAGCCTATGTGCGGCTGCACTGTCCTTGGCAAAGCCAAAGCAGCCCCGGAAGAAGTATGCTTCAAAAGCATCACACCAACCGTAAGATGGTACTGTACCCCCGAAACGTCCGACATGCACTAATGGCATCTCATGTAACCCAGTGGTCTTGCATAAATTTTGTGGCAGCAAGGTCGTTTGATTACACTCCGCCACAATGTTGTCACCAGGTTTGCACAGATGTTTTCACAGATGTTTTCAATTGGCTAGAGAAGCTTTAGTGCGCGGGGCATAAAGTACCGGCAAGTGCGAGATCAGCGGGAGGATTGTTGACGTGTAGGCAGGAAGAACCCTTCTCGAGTTTGACTTCGTGTTGGAGTGACGTTCCCGCTCCAATCGTCTTTGACATTGCTTGCGCATCGTCCTCTTTGACATGACAGCCTTGAAGACGAGGATGTGCATGTTACTGGGCTCGAGGTTTTAGTTAAACTCTGTGGCGCTACAGGAACACATTGCAAGCTGCCACAAGCGGTTTCGCAGTGTCGCGCAGCAATCGCTAAGCTCGGTTCAGCAGAGTCCTATGCAAGGTGAGGTTGAGATAAAAAGGGGTGGCACGTGTAGAGCTGCTCTGGGACCTTGATGGCGGTCGCCGAAGGGACGAACTGCACGAGGCTTCGCTCATACATGCTCACCCAGTGAGAGATTGTTTGTTTGGTTTCTGACGTGCCATTCTTGATGAGCTTACCGTGAAACTCGCTACGCGAGCAGTGTCACTGTGTGCAGAAAGTTATGTCTCAGGCCCCCAGAACTACCGGCCATTGGTGTGCCGCAGCCACAAGACCTTGAGAAGGCCGGTGTGGGCTCCGGGAACATGCGCGCGAGAGCATCAGCGCGCCCCAGGCATGTCCAGGGACACCCTCTCCTGCATCAGCGTCATCGGAGAAGCTCATGCTCCAGGCAGCTGTTAAGTCGAGTATTCAGAGACAGATGATGACTAAAGAGCTCACCCCCAGGGCGCCCGGGCCGTTCCGCCGGAGTGGTGCGAGAGGTGCCTTCGGCCGAGGGGTGTGACACATGCTGCCAGCAGTTGAAGAGCACGTGGCCCTGAGGCGACTCTATCGCGTCGAGTTCGCAGCACTTCGCTGCATTCAGAGGCCGGGCTTTCACAGTTTCGCACGGGTGCTCATCTAGAGAAGCGATGGCTGCAGCTTTTCAGCATCCCTGGTCTTGGTGTCCTATCGTTCCGCTTCAAATCGTGCCACTCCTCCGAGTCATGAACCGAGTCATTCCAGTGGTCAACCGGGAGGTTCGAAGGAGATCCCGAGGCAAGCATTTTCAGGATGCAGCGGAGCCGTGGAGGGCGACAACACGCCAGTTGGCAGTAGCCGCGGGACGACATGATGGTCAACACGTGCGCTAGCCGCACCTGCTTCGAAAGAGAAGCTCCACCACGTGATACCCGGCTTAATAGCCATCAAGGTCATGGACGATTCGGGAACCCTATCCAAACATGTAGGAACCACGCGTGCAGGAACCGACATTCGAGTGCTGGTGCTGCCAATCTGGTTTGCCAATGTAGCCAATGCAGGAACCTGACCCACAATTCAGGCACCGGTGGATCGCTTGGCTCGACTTGTAGATGTGTATGCATGTATGAACATATGCCCCGTACGGATTAAGGGGTTTTTAGGGTTTTCAGGGGTTTAGGGTTTTTGGGATTCCAGAACTCTAAACCTACGCGTGCCTACTCGTAGAGTTTTGCAGTTCCGAGTCTCTATACGGTCCACCATGGTATATTTCTGAGCGTGCGAAGCCTTCGTATGGGCTGCTGTTAAGACTGTGTTTCTGCCAGTACTATTATTAGTATGATTAGCGTCATAGCTGGCTTCTAGCGCCAGTCTCTGTGTGTGTGTGTGTGTGTCAGCCGCTTCAGCAAAACAACCTGGTTGCTGCGAACGTTGACACATACATATTCATACACATACTTTTTCTTTGTTTTGGCGAGACCGTGTTGGACTCGCCCTCCAGGGAGGGAGGGTGCCGGGGGCCAGTATGCGCCGCGCGACGCTTTGGGTAGATCATGTATACTAAAGTCTTGAGTGCTGCAATTCCGAGTTGTCTCCGGGTGACTCCCAGCGCTTTGCCAGGAACATGCCGCAGATGTTGATGACTCTTGTCAATACATGGAGTGTTCGGCATTTCCTCAACCGTTCCTGAAGTCGTAAGTATGTCTAAAGGCAGACAGGCATGGCCAAGTGCTCAGCCACCTCAGCTAGTGGGTGCTTTGGAACACCATTGAGGCTGCCTGTGGCTTTGACGATACACTACACCTCATCGGAGGCATGGTTCAGTTATGCTCAGTTGAACGGTTGCGATTTACCGGTAGTTGGAAGGAGACCACTTTTGCATGGCATGCTGTTGCCTTTACTTTGATGTTTAGATTTTTGCCCAGACAGCTGCCATATCTCAGTGAACTCTCAGTGAACGATATCTGGGTGTCAAGGCAGCCTTTGTGCCTCTCTTGGGAATGTGCCCTGGCAGTTGATTCAGATAGCTTGGCATTGTATTTGCGGCTGGGATGCAAGTGGTTCTAGATAACTCTTGACTCGTGGCAGCACACGCAGGCCAGGGCATGTGCTCGGTTCTTCACACATTTGCAGCTGCTTTCAGCATGCTGAGCCGGGAGGTGATGCCAAAAAGAAACACCTGCAACAGCTTTTCGCCGAATTCCAGGCTGACCTGGACGATTTCGTTGCCAGCCACCGCCTCTGTCACCTGCTTCGCCTGCTTCTCGGTGAGGGCCTGAGCTGTGAGCCTCAATAAATGTGATGCTCGTAATGGCATGGAGGCTGCCAGCTAGTTAGCTGCCAGCTAGATTGATGCAGGTTCAGCTCTTGCTTAGGCATGTAGCTGGTATAAGAGAAACGATTCAATTCAACGCACGCACTGCTGTTTCATCTGCATTGCTGAAGGTTTCCCTCAACATGGGCTTGAAGTGGCTGGCTTACTCTGCTCAGAGTATGTACGCATACGTAGGTTGACCGCATGTGCAGCAAATTCACAGGACGTGTGCAGGTTCAAGATCTCGGACATGAAATTTCTTTCAAGAAGCACGTTTCAAGGGTCACATTGTAGTTGGACCGCAGCGCGCTTCTGCCAGATGCGCGCAGACAAATGCAACTGCATTACGACAACACGCTGAATGTGCACTAGCATTCGAGTAGCATCTTGCTTTGACGGCTTGATGCCCCAACAAAACTTTGCTGCTCCTTGAGGACGGGGCAAAGACCTCCGTGTGTACTTTTGTCCGCATCCACCATGTAGACGGTGACAAAGACGACGGACGCATTGCGCAACTGTGAGTGTACCGCTGAGCAAAGCACCATGACCAACCACCTTAAGTGATGCTGCCAGTCTTTGGCACACTTTCCGGCTTTAAGGTGGATATGTCAGAGGCCGCGTCCGATCTGGCTTGACGATGGAAAGGTGTCAGATGTTTGGAATATTGGCCTCTCGGCGTGGGGTTCTAGGTTTGCTAAGTTTGCTAAGTGCAGCATTGCGTTGTGGGCATGTGGCCAGTAGTGGCGCTTGCAGCGTCTTGACGAGTCAAGCCAAAGCAATTGAGGATCTGTGTGGGAAGCTGCTGATGGCTCAGCTTATTTCTTTCAAGACGCTCTGCAGGTCTTTCCATGTCTCTGGCTTTCCTTTCATGGCTACCATGCAGTGTGGCCAAGGATTACGCATTTCCGAGTGGGCATACGCATGTCCTTTCAGGTGACTCGGTGGATTTTGTTGTAGCGCGTAGCCGTTCCTAAGATCCCAGAAATGAGTACACTCTTAGAAAGAATAAGGGGGCACCCCGCTTGAATGGCAAACTTTGCATCACTTTGGCAGCCTTGTAGGACTCCCGGAGCTTCTCTGGAGAGCTGTGGGTAAGAGCTTTGTGTGCCAGAATCGAAATGATTTCAATGATGTTGGGGGTAGCTTAGGCATTTTGGTGTGCGTCTTCTTTGCATTCGAGCTTCCATCCGCCTGGCTTCACGTCATGTACCTGCTGCCAGGATGAATTCAGTGATAGCATTGGCATGTCAACCAATCTGCAAGTTCTGCAAGCTCTACCGATTCTTTGTTTTTTCAGCATGTCGGAAGCGTTCCTCCGCGCACGCGCCTTGACATTGACTGCTTGCAGATCAGGCTTGGCGCGCTAGCTGGGTTTTCCAGGAACTACTTGGGCCTGCATTGGTGTCGCTGGCCTTTGAAGTGGCAAAACAGTACGGGATAGTACTGGGGTATGTCACTGTATGTAGTCGTGATCCTTCTAAGGCAGCGACACGGCCTCGGGCTTCCTCATTGGCTGCGCCAGCGGCGCCTTATGGGGAGTGCTGGATGTCTACGGCCGGCTCCTGCGCTGAGAGCTCGGGGGACTCCGGGAGGGAAGCTGTGACCTGCACCTTCAGAATCGCAAGGTCGAGCTGACCCGCTGCTGTCTGTCTGCATCGGCCTGGGGGCAGCAGCTTGGCATCGTTTGGACACCTCGAGCGTGCTTGAGTCTGCTTATGTCTGCTTGAGTGTGCTTGGCTGATGGTGCGCCGTGGCCAGGCCCTGGGCATGACACTCTTGACATTGCTGGGACGAGCAGTTGCCGTGGCCTCAGTGCCTCAGTGTACTCTCTCTCTCTCTCGAAAGAGGGCTGTGAAGTACATGTATCTTGTGTTGGCGCGGC